TCAGAATTGACTCAACAGGAACCAGTTTGGTTTGGGATTGGCTTATCCATTAGAAATCTCTGAGAAGGGCATGTATGCTGTGCAATCCCCAATCTAAACTGGCCAGGACCAGTTTATGCTGCTGAATATTTGACTACCAGCTGTCCAGGGGGAAAGGCTTGGTTTGTAGTGCTTGCCAATTTCCATGGTGTAAATACTCCCAGCATGTCTGATTTCAGCCTTCCAAGCTTTCAGGCAGAGTTGCGGAGAGAGGGGCATTTGCACAGCACTATGTAGCATTTCCATTATAGGTATATAATACCCATGAATTACTTCAAGAACATAATAAGTAAAGAACATGTGATAACATCATTAGGAATGCATGTTGAGGCTACATTACCTTTGTTTGTTTGTTTTTAATCTCCTTTGCTCTTGTTTTTGGGAATCAATACAAGAAACCACACACCAATCCTTCTATTTCTGCCTGGACCACCCAGGGACACTGACAGTACTCTTCACGATATGCACGCATCCTTTTCTTGAGTTGCTCCTCCCCATTAATATCAACGTGTTACTCCCCCACGGTTTCTAATTTTTTGAGTTATTGTTGTCACGCTGATCCCTGATAGATAGCTCTTCAGTGCTCCCAGCAGACACTTTTTCCTGGTTAAGCTAAGCTTAATGATTGTATGATTTTAAGAAGACTCGAGGGGATACTTTGGTTTAAGTTTTAAAGATGATTCTTGAGTCATAGCTTTAGGGGGTCATTTGCCTTCAATGGGTCTAGAAAGTCTGGAATCTGGGAGAATTGTGACACTCTGTTGCATATATCCTCCTTTTGATCAGGAGTCTTCTATGGGATTTTTCATGGTGGCTGGGCAGCATCCAGTGTTTCTGCTCTCATGACAAAGGAGGTAGTTGTCCGTGGAGTCATTACTCCAGGTGCCACCTTCTCTCCTGATCCCGACTCTCCTTCTTCCTCCGAAGCTGCAGGCAGAGAGACACCAATTGCCATGCTTGATCTGGTCATCTGTAAGTTTGTGAGACCCCAGGTACTGTGAAACCTACTAGGAGGTAGGACGGGAACACGGAGATGAGCCAGTCAGGGTGCGATGTAGCAACGATGAAACATACAACTTTCCTCTAGTTCCTAAATGCTTCCTCCCCACCCCCACTATCATGATCCCAATTCTACCTTACAAATCTGGCTAG